CTGAATCTAATTTACAGTATTAGCCAAGCGTGCAAAAACACAAAACACTAAATTAGGGCATATCTTGAAGAACCACAGATTTCAAGGGCAGCTGATCCACTGAGCTGGTGGAAATACCGAGCTTCCGTCTACCCCCGTTTGATCAAAGTAATGGAGAGTAGATTGTGCATTGCAGCAACATCTGTCCCGTCAGAGAAGGTGTTCTCAAAGACTGGACAAATTGAAGTATTCCAAGTTGAAGTATTTAGTTTTGTTGACTGCAAATTTAAAATAAAGCAAGGAGTAGCTTATGTTTGTCAGAATAAAGCAAGGAGTATCTTATGTTTGTTTTGTTCACTGCTGCTGTTGCAGTTACTACTCACAATTTTTGTTATGATGCAGCATGTTTGATTATTGTTGGTTGAAGTTTAATTTTGTTGCTTGTTTATTGTTTGGAGCCTTTTTAATGTTCAATAAATTAAGTAAAAAGCCATTTCTTTGCTTGATAATTGTTGCTATTTGCAGTCAGTTGAGTGCAATGTTTAGTTCACCAAGTCATTTATCAAAATGTATGCTAAATTTGTCATAAATATTTAAAAGAAAAGCTAAAGTTAAAAGAGCCGTTTGAGAGCCAAAAAGATCCGGCTCTTTTCACTGAGCCGATCCAAATGAACCGGATCACCGAAAAGAGCCGAAAATCCCATCACTAAGACAAACCAATCAACTACACAGAAAGTGACTTTTCTTTTAATACTTTCAACAGCACCATCATGTGGTAGGAGTTTGTACTACATAAAAACAAATCAAGACAGGATGAAAATGGAAGAATTGTTGGGATTGGGCCAATTACTATATTCTGTTTCCACATCCAGGTTACATGTTTATAAGGTTTTAAATTCTCATCTGAAAATTTGCATTTAAAAAAAAATCATAACACATAATTTGACATGGATATGAGAATTTCAAGGGGAAAACACTCAGTGTCCTTTTGTAAACTTGCTTGCAGACTTGATCCTCACAGGTAAGTTCCTGAAAAAGATTAAAACCACATCATATGCTGCAAAAAGTCAACATTTTACAATAATTGTCAGATATTTAAATTTTAAAAATGCATGTTTTTTAGATTAGTCATCTAATAAAAAATAACATTTCATTGAAAAAAGTTTTGCATGCTTTCATAACATGTGAACAAAGTTGTATATTTTCTTGACAAAAGGTTGTTTTCAACATCAAATATTGTATGTGTGTTTTTTTGCAATAATACAGGAGTGAAACAACAGTGCTGTGAAATAGTATTTCCCCCTTCCTGATTTCTGTGTTCTTTGCATATTTATCATATTCATGTATATATTTTTGTACACTTGCATAGCAGAATAAGAGCACGACTTCTGCGCTGCAGTGCACAGTAAAGGTTGACAGGATGTTATTATTTTGAAATCATACCAAATGAAGTTCATTTCCCTGAATCCAGTGAGTCCAGCTCCTGTTCCTTTTCTCCCCTCGCTGAACACACACAAGCTTGTCATTTTCCCAGTTGACCACACTCTTAAAAAAAAAAAGGGAACACATTGGATATCGTGAAAAAAAGCACCCACACATTCTAATGGATGTAATGTTAAACCCTTATGTAACATAAACTCGAGATGAAATACTGTTGTGTTGATAGACAGTTAAAATAACTTCTGACTTTTTAAATTGAGCGAATAAAGTTTTTTGTCGCATGGCGACTTCAAACGTTGCTGCCTATGAAATGAAAACTCATTTTTCATTGTTAATTTGTGTATCAAATCAGACAAAACCTTAAGGACAAATTTCTATTTGAAGGACCAGTCGAAATGGCCAACATGACCCTAAAGTGGCCGTTTTGTGCATCTCTGCGATAGACATGCCGACCTAATTCATCCATCCATCCATTTTCTCATCCGCTCAATCCTCACAAGGGTCGCAGGGGGTGTGGAGCCGATATCAGCTGTCTTCGGGCAGTAGGCGGGGGACACCCTGAACCGGTTGCCAGCCACTCGCAGGGCCCACAGAGACGAACAACCATGCACGCTCACAATCACACCTTGGGACAATTTTGAGTGTTCAATCAGCCTGCCATGCATGTTGTTGGAGTGTGGGAGGAAACGGGAGGACCCGGAGAAAACCCACGCAGGCCCGGGGAGAACATGCAAACTCCATACAGGGAATTTAATTGGAATTGAACTCGGTATCTCTGCACTGTGAGGTCGACGCGCTAACCACTGGACTACTGGGCCGCCCCCGACCTAATTCCACCTTTGGAAATGAAAGTTCAGGGGTTGAATTTTGGAGGAGAGTTTATTAATTAGTCTTGCATTTTGTTTGTTTGTTTGTTTGTTTGTTTGTTTATTGAACATATATAAAACATACAATAACAGATGACAAAATGCAAACAAAAATTATGAAAGGAAAATAAAAGTAAGTAATACAAACATCATCACAGTTATATGTTCAAAGGAGTAGGAAGAAGTATACAACTTATCTAGTCCTACCCCTTGTTGTGCAATAATGTATATTGATCATTTCCAGTACCAAAGAAAAGGAAGAAATCTACATTTCATCAAATACTTTTACCCTTTTGTGTACTATACTTATTTATTGATACACCTTTCGGTTTGTATATATGTATAATTGTTTTTTCTACTTTTTATATCAAATGACTCATATTCATTATATATACTGCATTTCTTGAATACATTCAATAAGTTGTTCAAAATCCAGAACAAGAACAAAAACATTTTATTGCGAGTCACTGAATTTTTCTTCCTGGCTTCGCCCACACCCCTAACAAAAACTCAAATTCTATCCCATTTCGTGTCACCTATCTGTGTAGGATACATCGTTCAAATGTCCTAAATATTGCCTAAATGAACCTAACATGACAGCTTCAAACCAAAATGGCAGATTTTCCTGTTTCGTTCAGGAAATGGGTTCTTGAGACTTTTTTTGTACGTTTACTCATGATAGACCTGCCTATCAAATATGTGAAACTGTCCGCAAGGGCTGAATTTTCAAACAATCAACACTGTGTACTGTATTCTACCTTGCAAATGCGGTTATCCATTCCCTTGGTCACCTCTTTGTACTCCTCCCCGACCTGAAACGCAATTTCATAGTTCCTGAAGGACGTGAGGGTCCTGATGATGAATTGATCGCCGTCTTGCTTGATCACTTTCTGGGGCTTCAGCAAGGCCGCCACTTTGCGGGTTGCAAAATCGATCCCTGCGGGAAACCGGGGGGATGTGGTCCATGTGATATTGCGTGGCACAGTTTTCACTTGGAATCAGACAAAACTATTTGACACCAAAAATGTTTGCGGCTCAATGTGCTTGATTATATATTTTAAAAAGTAATAAAAAGAACACATGGCAACACCAATACCCACTATTGACTCAATATTTACTGCAATCACCCACTCAGATTTATTTTGGTGAATATTGGTAATTGGTAATAACAGAACGAGCAATAGCAGCATAACAGGATACGCAGCTGTTGCAAAGGCTTACCGAGAGCGATCATGTATCCCTCAAAGTTGACATTGCTGATCATATCCCACGTGCCAGTGTAGTTGACCGCCATCTCGGACGTTCTTGTGGCTCCACACTCACAAGTAAGTGAATTTGTTTCACAGCTCTGGGGTGGATATGTAATGTTTCATTGTGTGTCAATATAGGCCAGGGGTGATAGCACCGGATGGGTGGAACGGGACCTTTTACACACATTAGCCAACACAGCTCTTCCTGTTGTGGGGAATGTCCTTGCGGAAAAAGTGGTCTTTACAGTGCGCTGCTATGGGTGGCTAAGGGTCAGCCGGGAGCGAACCTAGAGGCCCTGTCTTTAAAATAAAATCCGCCGAGCAGAACATGAGCTGCAGGTACCATCTTTGTGCGGTTTAGTGCAACATGATCCTTCCCTCTGTTGGCATTTGGAGAGACGGGCTTCAGGGGGTGAAATATGGAGTGGAATTAGAAGAGTTTTGTGTTTTATGGGCAGTCGTCAACCTTCGCTTCCGTGTTCCACCCACACACTATAAAAAATGTTTAAAAAAAACGAATATTCTTTATAGTTTAGCATCACACATTCGAGTTGTTTTTTTTTTTTGTGCGTGTGTGATCGAAATTTGATAGCAATTGGACATAATCTGAAGGACAGATTTGTCTATGGAGGACCCCTGGAAATAGTCAAAATGGGACAAAATGGACTGGTGCAAACCAAAATGGAAGACTTTCTGGGCCTTTTCAGCTGTGGGTTCTTGAGATTTTTTTATTTTTTTTTGTAGCTCTACTCATGATAGATAAACCTACCAAATTGCATGTTGCTAAGTGACGCCAGCGTCGGAAGGGATTGTATTGCTGAGTGCAACACAATCCTCCCTGTGTTCACATTTGAGGCAACTGCTGTGAAGCTCGCGTCTGACGCAATGTTTCTCTACTTGCTGATCCTGATAGCGTACCGCAGTAGCAGATGGATACCAAGGAATCAGAGGCTTAAGTTGTACGTGCGCTTTTGCGCTCCCCCACAAAAAAAAAAAAAAAAATCAATTTGTCTGTTTTTGAATGTGTTTTTTTTTTTCTCCGACAGCCAAATTGTCAACGCTGTGTTCACGGCCCTCGTGGTGTTCCCTCAGATGTACATCATAGCAAGGTAGCTCAACAGCCGAAAGACTTTTGCCAATGATTTTGATATTCAAATGATTTCTGTTTGATGTAAAAGGCCCACGTCGGCAAGGTACTGCAAGCAGCCCTTACTGAACAGCCTGGCCGCTTCCATCGGCCTGTCCCTGGTGGCCTCAGGTAAACCACATTTAAGTCCAACGAAAAGCATTGGCAGCCATGCATAAGAATAAGAATAAGAAAACCTTTATTCGTCTCACAATGGAGAAATTCCCAATTTACAGCTGCAAAGTTATGAAAGGAAGAAAGTAGAAGAACAAAAAGTATAGGAGCTGCTGTAAAGGCAGCCACTCTCGCGGCGCCATGTGACATTTGATCAACAGGCATCGTTCATGTTCAGGAGAACTTACTCATTGTGTTGTAAAGCTAGAATACAGTAAAACTTGTCGTTTGAGAGGGAACGGGAAGGTTTTGCTGAAAAACACCGTGGGACGTTTGAGGTATGGCTGGGATGAAAAGCCGTTTCTTAATTTACGTTCTTACGTCCTTGTGATCTTGTTAAGTATTTTGACTTGCGGCTCAAGTCCTGTTTAGGTTGAAATGACTTGTGAAGAACTGGCTGGGAAAATATCCCAAGATGCATTTCATGCTGCTATCCAAATGTGTAATACAAGCAAATTTACATTTGTACGTTTTTTTTTCCCCTCCCACAAGTTTATGTTTTTGGAATAGATGTATTTTAAACAAGTGGTCACCTGAAAACAAAGAACGAAATACTGTATTGGCCCGAATATAAGACGGCCCAGATTATAAAACGACCCCCTCTTTTTCAAGATTTAAGTTTGAAAAAAGACTTTTTGAACACCAAATTAATATTTATACAGAAAATAATTACAGTACATCTGAAACAAATGATTATAACAATATATTTGAGAGAAAAACCATGTTATTTTGCCTCATTCAAATCTTAATATCTGAACATTTAAATATGTAAACTAAAGTGCAATCACATTCGTTTTTATTTTTATTCTTCGTGACAGGGGTTCATTTTGGCCTGGGGAGTCAAGTTCAGCATTCGCTTCAATGATATCTGGCGCCATCTAGCGTCGTGAAAGGGTATAATGTCTAGACCTCGACTATAAGACGACCCCCACTTTTTCAGTCTTATTTCAATGCAAAAAAACACTGTCTTATATTCGGGCCAATACGGTAACGAAATCCATGGATGGTTCAGTCTTGTACTCCTCCTTGTTAAATGTCAAAGCAAAACTTTTGTAGCAATAAAGCTCACCACAAGCTGATGACTAGTTTCATGTAATCTAGTCATGTGAATTAACGATAATGAATTACAGAAATATGCCAGAACCAGCAGGGAAGTTCACACAGCCATTCTAATTAGTAAATCATTTTCTCAATTTCATAAAACGCAGAGCCCGGTCTTCCTAAGAATGTACTAGAGAAAAAAAACGTCCTAAGAACGTGTGTCTCTTTGTAATCGGAATGGCTTTGTTGTGAACTTCCCAACTAACCCTGACACATTTCCGAAAATGATAAAAAGCGGGTTAAAAAAAAATTCTCTCTTCATTCATTTTGATAGGAGCACCAAATGCAATTTGGGATCTATTCTATCATTGTTCATGTCCTGTGACCTGTTGTAACTGTCATACGCTTCTGCAGGAGTTTTTTGCCAAACTCAAATTATCCTCAAAATGAGGATAGTTCGAGCGTGGTTTTTTTTTCTCCCCCTCTCCCTCCCTTGTGGTTTCTTTCTGACTTCCGGGTTGAGTGAACGCTGGCACGTTTGGCTGCCGCTGCTCAACCCGTATTGTGTTTTATTGTTTTTGTTATTGTAAAGTGTCCTTGGGTGTCTTTAAAGGCGCTTGTAAATAAAATGTATTATTATTATTATTATTATTCCCAGCTAAGTCCTCACAAGTCCCCAACCACTGCATCCTTGGTTCAAGCTAGCAGATGAGTACAACATCCGTGTATACAGCGCACTGTTGCTTTTTGCATATTTTCAATTGAAACAATACTTGGGCTGTGATTGATAACGTTTCAGGAGATGACAAGGACGTAAGGATAAGATAAGATAAGATAAGATATCCTTTATTTGTCCCACACTGGGGAAATTTACAGCCTTCAGCAGCAAGATTGTGGGTAGAAAGAAGAGAAAAGAAAACACAGTTCAATTAAGTGCAATATAAATACAAATATGGATAAGGTCAATGGATGGACAGAAACGCAACTTGAGTAACAGATTAGTAGTTTTCTTTGGAAATGCATTCGTTCAGACCGGGTTTACAAAAACCATATCCTGCAATTTTGATATTGAGAAACTGCTCACGTTTCACCTTTTCTCGTCACGTTCATGTCTGTCAGTAGCCATTTTGCGATCAGGTACAGGACACCTGACGGTTAAACCTCCTCCATTTTCTATAAAATGTTTCCTTATTTGTGAGGAAAGCAGGATACTTGAAAGTACTCCCAACTCTCTCCACAGGTTTTTCTGTCGTCTTTACGCTCATAGATCCAGTCCCTCAGGGCTTGTGGGCGTCCTATCACATGTTCGGACTTCTGTCGTTTGGACACGGGCTGTGCTGCGCCATCTTGACGCTCACTGCGACCGCATGCGTAAGAAACTTAACTCAAACTTCATCTGTGGAGCATTCATTCATTCATATTCTACACCGCTCGTGGGTAAAATGGAGTCTAACCCAGTTGAATTTGGACAAAAAGAAACAGGCATCACCCTGGATTGGTTGACAGCCAATCGCAGGGTACAAACAGACCAACAACCAGGAACTATCCTAACATTTCTCGTTGTACCTCTGCAGGCCAGAACCACACCTGAGCTGTACCACATGTCCCTTTTCATCACAGTGGCATCCATTTTGAGCTCAGGTAAAAAGCACATGATGTTATTTAAATTTGCGCGCACACACCTATAATTGCGTTGAAATTGAGCACTTTTGCTTATTTCACAAAGTCAGCAAAGGCCCAACTATCAGGTCTCTCTCAAAGATTATCTGGAGCGAATATCCTTTGATGTGGGGTGTGTCAAGAGTGTTTTTCTTTTCCTCTAGCGGCAGCCTATCTCGGAAAACACTCGCAACCAAAACTTGTGAATGGCAAACCTCTTAATTATTTCCTAAGGCGAATGCTTCTGTGTGGTCAACATCGATTTCGACCGAGACTCAGACTCGTCACTGTGACGTCAAGTTGAACAATAGCCCACTAAGCAGGGTACACGCAAAGATCACCGGCTGCAAGTTTAGCTTATTTCTTCTCTTATGATCAAAATCAGGCCTTTGTTGATTTGCATGTCTCGAAAAGATAATCAATCATATTAGGGCAGGGGTGTCAAACTAATTTTTGTTGCGGGCCGCATTGAAGTGAGCGTTTTCCTTGGAGGGCCTTTATGACTGTGAAAGCATGTAAGAAGTCAAGAATAATGGTTGACTCAACGATTGTTTAAGTTACTGTAATGAGGGGTTTGGTAACAAGAAAATGCTTACAATATCTCTCTTATTATATATGAATACCGGTAGTTGAAATTTTGGTCCAGATTTCATGGGAGAAGTTGACATGTTTGATTTGCTTTCATGGGCCACATAAAATGACGTGCCGGGCCAGATCTGGCCCCTGGGCCTTGAGTTTGACATTTGGTATGATTTCAAGTGTGATAAGGGGTGTGTGATTTTTTTTTTTGTATGGAAAACTGTTGGGGCAGAGAACCGTCAATGTTAACCCTCTGTGCAGATATTTTTGTGTGCATGTAGTATCTAAGAGCAGTAAACACACACAGTACCGTATTGGCCCGAATATAAGATGACCCCCTCGTTTTCAAGACTCAAGTTTGAAAAAAAAATTTTTTGAACACCAAATTAATTTTTATACAGAAAATAATTACAGTACACCTGAAATAAATGATTATAACAATATATTTGAGAGAAAAAGCATGTTATTTTGCTTCATTCAAATCTTAATATCTGAAGATTTAAATATGTAAACTAAAGTGCAATCACATTCGTAACTGAATGGCTTCTGGTTTTTGAAATGTAAATTACCTCATAACTTCTCCTCAGCTGCCAGTTAACCTGGCTGATCTTTGACCCACTTTTCTCCAGATTGTCGCTATGTTTCTCCATTTTCTGTTATCTCTTCTATTATTTTCTTCTCTTTTCTTTCTTACCGCTATTTTTTATTTTTCTTCTTCGTGCTACCGCTATTTTTATTTTTATTCTTCGTGGCAGGGGTTCACTTAGGCCTGAGGAGTCAAGTTCAGCATTCGCTTCAATAGTATCTGGCGCCATCTAGTGTCGTGAATGGGTATAATGTTTAGACCCCGAATATAAGACGACCCCCACTTTTTCACTTATTTCAATGCAATATACACCGTCTGATATTCGGGCCAATCCGGTATAATTATTTTTTTGCCTTGTCATGTGTGGGGTCACTCACATTTCAGAAATTGGGTGAAGATGTTAAACATGTGCATGCATTTACCCTGCTTAAGCTTTTATGTTCTTTTATAACACCCACTTGTTTTTTTAGGTGCGCTGGCAGTCAAAGTTGGCCTGTGGCTGACAAAAAGGCCGCAACAATGAGCAATAAAAGCAGCCCAGCTGTCTCACATCGACATCGGATAGCGCTCATATCAACGATTCATGCGGTTTCCATGCCGCCGGCGAGCCGGTAACTCAAAACCATGGGAATGAAAGAAGAGAAAGCGAGTTAATCCGGCTCACGTTTTAATGCTTAGCTTCATACAAGACAGGTGTTTCCTTTTGCAGATCCTTGACGTTTTGGTTCCCGTTGTAACCTGTTGAAAATGTAACACATATGATCCAAAAAGATTTCGAGGTGATACAGGCCAGCAGCTGTTTAAAAAAAAAAAAAATCACCACGAAGCAGAAATGTGCCGCTGGAAATTTCCATGTGAAAAAAAAACAGCTCAGAGGAAGTCATACAATGTATAACTGCACAGGCAATGGGACACAACTTTACACTTTGGGGAAATCCAGCAAATGGATCACAGAAAGGCTCAGTAAGACATTCTTTTGACTTATTGTAAAGAGGAACTACAGATACAGGTTCCAGACAATTTAAAAAAAAAAGCAGCACAGAAATGTACAACATCCTTTTTTTCCCCCTCACGTGATGTTAAAATTTACTATTGCTTTAGTTGGAATCGGTTTTCTGTCTTTACCTGAGATCTGATATTACCACAGTGGATACAATAAATAATTAAATCAAGGCACTGGACGTTTAGAAACGATGTATAAACACAGCGTTTGACTGACTGCAGAGTTGTGAAGGATTGTCATTTCACCTTTCGAGCTTCCGGGCAGTAACAAAAAGAGGCAGGCATATTTGCATCGCAACCGAAAGGCCAGAGTGACGGGAATCAGTTGTGTCTGGATATCCACCGTGTGGTTCAAGTAACACAATTCCGATTTGTTCCCTCAACTTTCACAATTAGGATATGCGTCACGGCAGGGGAATGAGAAAATAATACACAGAATCGAATGTCTTCAGATTAGACTCAGGCCACTTCCAAATGTGGATAAAAATCACTTTGGCATCCGTGCAGGTGGTGGTTTCATGTGATCGGATACGTGTCACTTGGAATGTAAATGGAAACTGACTGTCAAAAAAAAAAAAGAAATATAGTCCTTCAATTGGAATTGGGCACTTGGGACTGAAGTGTCAATACAGCCAGAAAGAATATTTAAATAAAGGGAGGTAGCTCAATCCCATCCAGTTCTCACAAAAGGAAACGGTTCTGAAAGGACAGACTTTTTTTCACCAGTGTACGCTTCTGCTGAGGCTAAAAAAGCAAGTACAGTATGTATGTTGGACGAACGATACATCATATTCAGTGAATCCTCAACCATTTGCCATTTGTGAACTCATCTTTGCGTGAATATTTCTAAAAAACAAACCATTCACTGAAAAACGGACCCATTTTCATATTTATGTTTGCTTTCTTTAAACACCCAAAGGATGTCATCCAAATGGTAGTGGAGTCGTAACTCACAATTTAGGTGCGTTTAAAAAAAAAAAAAAAAATCAAATAATGTCGAAAGCAATTATTTTAAAGGGTATGAATGTTATGATTTGGAAATGGGATCATCATTTGGGGCGGCCCAGTGGTCCAGTGGTTAGCGCAGTGCAGAGGTACTGGGTTCAATTCCAGCTTCAGCCTTCCTGTGTGGAGTTTGCATGTTCTCCCCGGGCCTTTGTGGGTTTTCTCCGGGTACTCTGCTTTCCTCCCACATTCCAAAAACATGCATGGCAGGCTGATTGAGCGCTCTAAATAGTCCCTAGGTGTGAGTGTGAGCGCGGATGGTTGTTCGTCTCTGTGTGCCTTGCGATTGGCTGGCAATCGGTTCAGGGTGTCCCCTGCCGACTGCCCGAAGACAGCTGGGATAGGCTCCAGCACCCCCCGCAACCCTTGTGAGGAGAAAGCAGATTGGAAAATGGATGGATGGATGGACCATCGTTTGGATTATATTTAGAGGAAAGCAGGGGTGCCCAAGTCCGGTCCTGGAAAGCCCCTCTCCATCCTGTTCTAGATGTCTCCCTCTTCCAAGACACATGACTGAAATGACCAGGCTAGTTATCAGGCTTCTCCGAGCTTGCTGATGATCTTATTATTTGAATCAGGTATTTTCAGGGGGGAGACATCTAAAACAGGCTGGATGGAGGCTCTCGAGGGCTGGACTTGGGCACCCATGGTCGACAGCAAAGCCCTCTGCTATTCGTGGGGCTTGTGCCCTTACCACAAAGAGCGCAAAAAAGTAAGTTATTGATGGCCCCCAAAATTAATTGCAATTTGAAACTCATCTTCTAAGAAAATCATTAAAAAGATACAAATATGTCCATACAGTATGACAAAGGCTCTCCTTAGCTTCCACTGACAATCAGGCGAAACTTTGCTCTTCCCCCACACAAAAAAATCTCAAAATCGAGATGGATAACTTGGACGATGCTTTTTTTGCCGGGGCTTTGACATCATCTTACGGCATCTTAGAGCCTAACGGAAAGAGCACAAAAAAATGCAAATAGCTGAATTTGTGAATATGGAATAGCAAATGGGCAGGGGTTCACTGTAAACTACTAATATAGGCAAATGTAAAAATTTCAAAGGTAAGTGTCAACTGTGAGCAAATTTTTGATATTCACCGGTATTGGTCCCTAACCTTTGTGAAGAATGAAGAGCTTCACAGTACCTGAATTGTAGGTAGGCAAAAGGAACTTACTGTCTTGACATGTAGGGTTTATTGTGATCCCTAACCTAAAAGTGCGTCATAGTCCATGTACCAGGCGAGCGTGCCGTCAGTGGGTTTCACCCCAGTGACGGGCCATTTGTTTGGCTCGTCCTTGACACGGCTCAGCTGGGTGACAAGCTCGTGTTTTCCCTTGCCCATCACCAGCAGCGCCACCCTGTGGGCTCGGTTGATAGCGCTGAGCGTGAGGCTCATGCGGCGGTGCGGCTTGATGGGACTCTCGGTGAGGACCACCAGGCCATTGTCACTTTGGGCCGCTTTGGCGCCAGGGAAGAGGGAGGCCGTGTGTCCGTCATGGCCGATGCCCAGGAGTACGAAGTGGAACCTGGAGCCATTGACTAATCTGCTGATGTCTTCCTGATACATCAGCGCTGCGGCGTCGTCCTCCACGCACAGACGCTGCTTAAACTGCACCGGCATCGGGTGAATGTTGTAGTAGGGGATACGCACGTGCTGCAAAACGTGCTGGTGGATGTTGTGGAAGTTGGACTCCGGATCAGTCAATGGCACGCAGCGCTCGTCCACCATCCAAATATGGGTGTCACTCCAGGGGAAGGAGAAATGGTGCAGGGCCAGCCTGTGGAAGAGCGCAATGGGTGTAGACCCGCCGGAGAGGGCCAGGTGGAAAACGCCACCTTGAAGCACGGCCGCCTCCGCCGCTTCCTGGATGTCGGCGGCCAGACGCTCCACCAGCTCCTCAGCCCAGGCAGATACCATGTGAGCGTCGCGGTACTTCCCTTGCATGACTAGGAAACTCCTTGCAGACTCAACTCCTAACTGGTCCGGCCCGAGAAGTACCACATCACTTTTGTAAGCAATCTCCTTCCCTTTCAAATGGATATCCAGCAGGTCGCCGTTGTCGACCCCTCCCGGGTAGACGCGGGGAAACGAGCCGGCTAAACTCTCAAGCAACGGGGTCCACAGGTCCCAAGAGGCAAGGAGATTTTCGGTACTGATAAAACTATTTTTGTGTCCAGCAAAAATGTGAGAAATTAATTCCGCATAAGCTTCCCGCTGCACCGTTGGAGTTTGGACATAGTAGTTTGACAGAGGCGACCCTAGGACGTTAACATTTGTGTGATCCGTCACTTCCTTCCACTCGCCCTCCATCAGAGATGGCTTAAAAAGATTCTTGGAAACGAGAATGGCTGGGTATCGAAGGCTACCGTGTCCAAAGTAGAAGATTATCTCTTTGGGCTTGCAATGAAAGCCGTGCTGAAGACAGAACATGTCGTTCTTGAAAAGAACCCGTGCGTATCCCACTCGTTCGTCCAACATCTTCCCCGAGATCAGAAGGATGGGCACTCCGTCATACTGGGCCGAGTCCATGTGCGCCAACACAGCTGGAACAAAAAGTCAATTGAGAAAGTCAGCCCAAAATTAAAAAAAAAAAAAAAAAAAGAAGCCACTTTATTTTTTTTCCTAAAAAAACAGCCCAAT